CCCCCCCCCCCCCCCCCCCAGGCGAGTGCTGCATTGCCCTGAGGTCAATGATTGGCAGCACAGCCCAGCAGTTCGAGACCTTCCTCTTCCACCGTGGTGAGGAGACGGGCTCCATACGCGGCTGGATGCGGGTCCGGGTGCCCACGGAGCGGCGCAGCACCCGCGAGAGGCTCTATGGTACGGGGGGCACACCAGCCCCTCCCAACGCTGGGCTCAGGGACACCCAGGACGTGTTTTGGGGCTGCCCGTGCCCACACTGCCCCCTGGACCCCGGCCGTGGGGTGAGCCCAGACTTGGGTGCCTTTGCAGAGTGGATCAGCTTTGAGGAGGAGGATGCTGAGCCGGTGACAGACACCCCGCTGCGCCCCAAACCACCCCAAACCAACCAGCCCCGCAGGTACTCGACCGGGCTCGGCCCCACCGCGAGCCGCGGCCGTGGGGGATGCTGAGCCCTCTCTCGCTCTGTTCCGCAGGAGCCGGCCCCGCAGCCTCCCCGAGGCCACCGGCTACACCAACCCAGCCTACTTCATCTTCGAGGGGGTCCCCAACACGTGGGTGCCGGCCCCCGGTGAAGCCCCCAACAAGCAGGCAGAGAGCCCGGCCGGGGGCCAGCAGCGCTGGAGCCCCCCTGGGCTGCCCTCAGGGGAGGAGCAGTGGGGTGGCCGACCCCGCTATGGGGCACCGAGCCCATCCTGTGGACACCCACTCAGCCCCCCCGGCGTGGGCCACCACAAGAGACCCAAATCGGCCATCCTGGCTCGGGACGCGGCGGGGCTGGGGGACTGCTCGCTGTCCGCGCTGCGTGTGGCCACCCACCTGAGCCAGGTGTCCCCCGAGGGCAGAGGGGACACCCAGGAGATCCCGCTGCGCCAGACCCCCCGTGTGCTGGAGCCGCCCCCGCGGCCCTGCCGGGAGGTGCCGAGGCCCCTCGGGAAGCGGGGAGCGCTGGGCGCGCTGGACCTCGGGGCTCAGCCCCGTCAGGCGGCCGACCCGCATCCCGCCTGGATGTAGCGCATCCGTGCCCAGCCCAGCCTGCGGCCTCGGCAGCTGCTCCCTCCTCCCGGGCTCGCCCTGCTCGGATTGCCATTCCCAGCGGACTTCCCCTACAGCAGCCGCTCCCGAGGCCAGTTCTTGCAGGATGCCCATTGCTATCCCTATCCCTAATAAAGTCGCAGGGGCTGGAGGGGTGTGTGCACACCTGATTCTGCTCAGGGGCAAGGAGGGAGGGCACCAGGCGGGGAAAACAGCTCTCGATGTCCCGGCTGCTCCAGCACATTGACTCCCAACTCCCACTGTTCCATGGGGCACCCTGCACACCCCGATCCTCGAGGATGCCCTTGCTGCCCGGGATCCCGTGGGGGTCCCACGGGCTGGCTCTGCCTTCACAGGTATTCATGGTGGTACAATTCCCCTCCGGATGTGTCCCCTCAGCCCTGCACACGCGGGCTCCCCTGTGTCCTCCCTCGGTGGCCGAGCATCCCCGGGGTGCCCCAGGACCTCGCCCCCCTGCTCCCTCCAAGCCAGCCTGCTCACGGCCGTGGCCCCCACACATCTCGGGGTGCACTCGTTGCCCCCCCGTGATCCCCGTTCATCACAAACCCGCCAGGTGAGCTCAGCACCCGCCCTTCTCCCACTGCCCTCGCAAAGGAGGTGAATCCCCCTGAGCAGCACAGAGAGCGGGGGACACGCTACCCCCAAACACAGGGACACCACGGCAGTGTCCCGACTGCTGAGACACCCAGGGTGGCCCTGGGTTTGGGGACACGATGCCCGGGCTGGCCTCAAGGTGGCACTGGCCACCTTTTGTCCCCAGGATGGCCCCGCAGGGCTGGGGGGCAGCGGGGCAGCGCTCCGGGGTACGGGCACTGCTGGGACAGCGTGGGGCAGGGGGGCTGCCGGGGTGGGCGAGGGGCCACGGTCCCCATGGGCAGGGGGATGCAATCCATGGATGAGGGGCTGTGCCCCTCGTGGCTGAGGGACTCATGGTCCTCATGAGTGAGGGGCTGTGGTCCCCATGGGTGGGGGTACACGGTCCCCATGGATGAGGGGCTGTGGCCTTTGTGGTTGAGTGACCATGGTCCCCATGAGTGAGGGGCTGTGGCCTCTCGGACAGGGGGCCGTGGTCCCCATGGGAGAGGCCCACACACCCCATGCCCAGGGGGCTGCTGCAGGAGCTGCAGGTGGCCCAAAGCCTGTGAGGACGATGGAGGGATGGGAGTGCAGTGGCGCAGAGCCCTGGGGCAGCTCCTGCTCCTGCCTCCGCCTCCGCCCGCCTCCAGCCCTGCCTTTCCTGGGCACTTTGCTCCCAGCCGTGGGAGAGCCAGAGCGGGCACAGCACGGCAGGGCACGGCAAAGGGCAGCCTGCAGCCCCTCGGCATGGCCTCCTGCCCCGTGGGGAACGGGTGCTCCCCGGGGGGGCCCCACTCGTGAGAGCTGCCCAGGTCACAGGTGAGTGGGGCAGCCCCTGTTTGGGGACAGCAGTAGCTGGGGGGACCCTGCTATGGCCACACAATCCCAGCTGGGCTCTGGGGCTGAGGGGCAGGGGTGGGATCCCCAGGGCTGGATGGGTGGGGGGTGGGAGTCAGCCAGTTCTCCCCATCCCCAAATCCCTCCATACATCCTCCTCCCTAACATGCCATCACTCTCTATCACCAAGGGCCTTCATCCTTCCCAGCATGGCCACATCCTCTCCTTCATCCTCCTCTCCATCCCCCAAATCACTGTCTCCTTGCAGGGGAAGCTGTCCTAGGGCTGTTATGGCTCAGCCAGACACCAGGTTCTGGGGGATGGGGACAGCCCACCCAAGGGAGGAAGGAACCCCTCACCCCCACCCTGCTGAGCAGGGGTCACCTCGGGATGTGATGGGCAGGGAGGGAAGGGCCCGACCTCGCTGGTGTCCCCAGGGAGGTGTCCCCAGCGCCCAGCAGTGCCGGCAGAGCGTGCTTTGGCTGCTCTTCCAGGCAAAGGGAAGGATTGGGATTAGGTCATGTCCCCTTGTGCCGAGGCTTTGGCTGCACTAACCACGTGGCGATTAGGGACAAGGGTCCTTCTGCAGGATGTTTTGCACAATTTCCCCTTGTTTTGCAATTTCCAAGAGCTTAGGCGAGAAGAAAAGCCCTGTTTTTCCCATGCTCCAGCAGCAGCTGGTCCCAGGCTCACCCAGCCCTTGGTGGCTGCTCTGAAATCCGCTCTTGCCTGCCCTCTCTGAGCTCCTGCTGCTGCTCCAGATCCCCAACACCAGATCCCCATCCTGTCCCAATGACTTTGGCTCCAGGGCCAACCCTGCCTCTGGTGCTGCCCCGCTCATTCATTGGTGCTTTTCCAATGTCCCCACAACCCCCCAGGTCTGGAAGCCTCATCCAGCTGCTGGGGGCACCCTGGCCTGGGGACAGCTGTGGATCCCACCAGGTTCTTTGCCACAGGAACAGGAGCTCTGCCCTGCCTCCCAGCTCCATGGCTGAGCCCGGCTGCAGCTCCTGTTTCTGTGGCAAAGGGCCAAGGGCAGCACGTCCCCCCCAGCAAGTGGCCCTGTGGCCAGCCCCTGCCCCTTCCCACTGCTTCCTGGGGTACATGGGGGGCCAGTCCACAGGCACCATCCCAGAGGATGTGCTTGCTACGGGCAAGGGGTCCAGGGGGTTCCCCAGGATTGCAGCCCTCATGCATCCACAAAATGGGCAGGGCAGGAGGGAGCATCACCTCCCCAGCTCTGTAGCCTTTCCCTGCAGCATCTTCCATCTTCCCAGCTCTGTGTCCTTCCATCTTCCCCAGATCCACCTCCCCTTCCTGCAGCATCTTCCCTCTCCCCAGCTCCACGTTCTTTCCCTGCAGTGCCTTCCATCTCCTGCTCCAACAGGCAGCCCCATCTCTTGGCTCACACCTCGATCCCTCCTAAAAAGCTCATGCTGGAGAAGCCTTGTCCAGGGAGAGCCTTTCTGGGAGTGTCAGTGAGGAGTAGAATCAGGGCTGGTGGTGACATGTCCTCGGGCTGGACTGATGTAAATCAGTAATTTAAAGCACTGATTTTTGTTGTGAATAAGATAAGGACGCAGGAAACCTCTTCAGATATAACTTGCCAAATGTCATCTTCTACTGCATTTCTAATTTTTGGTGGTTATCCTCGAAGGAATGTCCTTGGGATTGGTTAAATCCTGCTGCTGATAGTCCTCAGGCTGTATCAGCTGCACAGGGTCCCTGTGCTCTCCTCTGAGCAGCCCAGCACCACACAGCTGCTCAGGATTTCTCCTTGTGTATTTCCCACACCAGATTATTAGCTTCTATTTACTGTCTTCTTCATATCTTGGTTGTTTGGTGACCTGTGTCATGGACACTGACTTGGGGCACTGAACCCTGCAGCACCTCCCCTCTGGTTGAGCTCAAGGCTTTGTGCTCACTTGCACTCAGAGGTTGGAAAAGGAAAACAAATCTCCTGGTCCCTCATGTCCTCAGCAGTGTCACAGCGTGGGGACACACTGGGCTGGGACCAGCACAGCACCCCGTGGGACCCCACTGGCACTGCACTCAGGTGCTCAGCATTTCCTACCTGCTGTTCCTACTCCTGGTTCTGAGAAAAAAACCAAGATCTTCCCACTGTTAATGTTTGATCAGGACCTGCCTGTTGCTCTCTGAACTCATCCCTGTAATAAAGGCAGGATCTTCCCGCAGCGCCGCCGGGGGATGGGAACCACGGGGAGTTTGAACTCGGCCCAGCCAGAGGCTCAACCCGCAACTCAAACAGAGCCCGTGGAGAGAGGCCAGAGGGGCCATGGCCACCCCCTGCCTGTCTGCCTGCTGAGTCATTTACGGGCATCTCTGCAAACCTGAGCTCTCTCCAGGCGAGGCGTGGTAGGGACAGGATGGAGCATGGCCTGGCCCATCCCACAGATACACCCTACCAGACATTCCTGCACATCCTCACGGCAAAGGCCAACAGGAGGGGGATGACGAGGGAGCCAAGGGATGAAGGAGCCTGAGAGGACAGATCCTTCCACCTTGTACTACCAACACCAACACCTGGTTAATGTCCATCGTCACCCTGAGTCCTCCCCTGTCCTGGTACGTGGCCCCTCCTGGGTGAGCTCTGGCCAACAGAGGCTGGAGATGCACCAGCATTCCCTCCATCAGATGCAGTTTTGGCTACACCCTTGTCCTCACCAGCAGCACAAGCAGATGCTCCTGCTCCCAGGTTACTCATCCAAGCATCCATCCTTGCTGGAGGAATCATTTCACCAGGGATGGTGGTGGGTGCAGGGGGTCAGAGTGCCAGCAGCCTCCCTTGGTCCTTTGCTGGACACCACGGAGAAGAGGGCTCTGAACTTCAGACATCCAACAGGCAAACCTGACCCTTTGACAGCTTGTACTCACAGTAATTTCCCAGGAGGACGCAGATCCAGCCTTTGATCCTAACACAGTGCAGGAGGAAATGTCCTGCCTTGTTAACTTGCACTGCCCTGAGCTGGGACTTGGCCCCGGTGCAGCTCCTCTCCACAGGGCTTAGCTCATCCCTCTCCTAAGGAGAATACCCGGCAGCCGAGGCCCCTCACCATCGGAGACACTGTCTCCCAAAGGCTCCTTTACCACCCTTCCCCCCAGGATTCCTCTGGGCCACAACATTCCCCCAGACAAAGCTTTCTTCTCCTCCCGCCTTTCTTCTGTCAAGGAGCCCTCTGGGAGCAGCAGCATTGTCAGGATGGTGCCAATTAGGCTGAGGCAGCTTCCAAGAGGCTGCGCTGGCCCAGCCGGGGGCTGCTGTTGCTCATCAAGTTCTCATTGTTTGCCGCGTCGTGGGGCTGCTGCCCGGCGGGGCCGGCCTGGCCCTCTGTCCCCGGCACGCTCCCGTCCCTGCGCCGCTCAGAGGGCTCATTGATGGGTGTCATTGCGGGGGCTGAGGAGGGAGGGCTTGCCCAGGCCCCCCCCCGGCCCCCGCGAGGCCCGAGCGCGTGAGCTGAGAAAAACCAGAGAACCATCAAAGTGGCCGAAGCTCCTGGAGGGGGGCAAAATCTGGCATCTTTGGCTCCTTTCCACGCTTTGTGTCTGACAATGGTCGGGATTGACGACTAATGTGCTTTTATTAACTGCTCCCCCAGATCTGGCTCGGAGAACATGGCCACTTCAGGGAGGACATTCCCAGTTGCCCTGTGGACATCGACACCGACTCCCTGGCCAGGAGGGAACACCACTGAGGAGGCCGAGGCCACATGTGTCTTCGACGAGGAGTTCAAGTTCATCCTGCTGCCCATCTCCTACAGTATCGTCTTCGTGGTGGGGCTGCCCCTCAACTCCTGGGCCCTGTGGATGTTCATCTCCAGGATGAGGCCCTGGAATGCCACCACCACCTACATGGTGAACCTAGCTGTGTCTGACATGCTCTACGTCCTCTCCCTCCCCACCCTGGTCTATTATTATGCCGACCGAAACAACTGGCCCTTCGGGAAATGGCTCTGCAAGATCGTGCGGTTCCTGTTCTACGCCAACCTCTACAGCACCATCCTCTTCCTTACCTGCATCAGTGTCCACCGCTACATGGGCATCTGCCACCCCATCCGCTCCCTCAAGTGGGTGAAGACCAAGCAGGCCCGCATCATCTGCGTGGGTGCCTGGCTCGTCGTCACCATCTGCCTCATCCCCAACCTCATCTTTGTCACCACCAGCTCCAAGGGCAACACCACCTTGTGCCACGACACCACCAAGCCCGAGGAGTTCGACCATTACGTGCACTACAGCTCCTCTGTCATGGCCCTGCTCTTCGGGCTCCCCTTCCTGGTCATTGTCCTGTGCTACTGCCTCATGGCCAAGCAGCTCGGCAAGTCCAGCCTCTCCAGCCCCAGCCCGCAGATGCCATCCTACAAGAAACGCTCCATCAAGATGATCATCATCGTGCTCACCGTCTTTGCCATCTGCTTCGTGCCCTTCCACATCACCCGCACCCTCTACTACACCTCCCGCTACTTCCAAGCCGACTGCCGGACCCTCAACATCATCAACTTCACCTACAAGATCACACGGCCCCTGGCCAGCATCAACAGCTGCCTCGACCCCATCCTGTACTTCCTGGCTGGGGATAAGTACCGGGGGCTGCGCCGGGGGGCCGCCCACCGGCTCCGGCCCGTGCCCACCTGCAACCTGGCCCTGGTGTCGCCCTACACGGACACCCTCACGGACAGCGGCCACGTGGCCAGTGTCACCCGAGGGACAGGGACAGCACGGAGCGGGGGCGGGTGCTGAGGGGCCCGAGGGGGTTCCATGACCTCATCCCTGGTCTCCAGGAGCTGCAGCCCCTCCAGGTTTCATGTGGGCACCCCCAGGTCCCCAGACCTACCCTGCCCCTGCCCAGCCCCTGCAGGGGCAGAGGCCACAGGGCTGAGGGCTGGAGGCCACAGGGCCAGTCCCAGCCCTGCCCTGGGAGGAGGGTGCTGCTGCTCACCGGGGCAGGAGAGCACGCGTGGGAATGGGAAGGACACTGAGGAGGCTGTTTGGGAGAAGCAGGCTGGTGTCCCATCCCAGGGCACTCCTGGGGACACAAGGGGGGTGATAGGTCACTAAAGAGAAGGGACACTGGTCCCTCCCTGGGCAGGCACAGCCCTTCCAGACGGCTCTGTGGTGATGTGTGGGCAACAGACTGAACGAGGGGACAGAGCCCACACTGGGGTCCCCCCTGCCCGGTTGTCAGAGATGTCTCTGTCACACCACTGGCCTTGGCAGAGGAGGAGAGATGTGACATGGGGTACTTGCAGCACTTGCTGCCCGTCACCCCCCAGTAAAGCCCCTTCCCCTTTGCTCCAGCCCTTTGTTTCTCCCTGTAGCAGAAGGAAGAGGAACGACACCCACCCTCACCCCAGAGAAAAGCCACCCTCCACCGTGACACCGGTGCCGGGGCAGGTCCGGAGCGGTGAGCTGGTGACACCCCTGGTGACGGGAATGTGCCTTTATGGGTGTTTGCTCCTCAAATGTTTACCCAGCCCTTTTGTTTGACCAAGTGCCTGCACAGCGGAGCAGACCAAGATCGGTATCAGTGCTGTTGACTCTCCCATGCCAGCCTGGCAGGGATGGGACAGGGATAGGGCTGTCCCCATGGCCCCCCACAACTCCTGTCAGCACATGCCTTGGGAAGGGACATCCCAAGAGCGCCATCAAGGTGTCACCTCTGCCATGGCACTGGTCACACAAGCCACACCCCACCAGGAGCTGCCCAGGGGAAGGAAAGGGCCCCAAGGATAGCACATCCCAGTCCTGTGTCCCCACCCCACCAGTAGTGGTGCCCAGAGAGCCCCTCACTCACCACTGAGCTGAGAGCAGAGTAAGGAGATCCCCCCCTGAGCCCAGTTAACCCAGTAAGAGCAACTGCTGCCCCTCTCCTCCCATTATATCCAACGTGGCTCAGGTGCACCCTGGAGCAGCTTGGTTGCACCTGAGCAGTGCAAGGGGCCCTGCCAAGTACAGCCCCAGCTGGAGATGGACCTCCCAGGGAGGGGACACAGTGAGTGGCAGGTCCACAGGTCTGTCCCAGTCCTGCCCATCCTGACCCCCAGAACACACACAGACAGGGGCAGCGAGTTGGAAACCTGTATTGGGGACAGAGGCATCTGAAAAGGCTCATCTGAGACCACATGGTCCTGGCTGAGGCCACTTCCACAGGTCCCCAAGTCCAGGAGTGTTCCCCCCTGACCTCAGGGTGGGATGTCCCCCAAGGCTGGTCCCACGTGCCATCATGATGCCACCCCAAAGACCCCATTTGATTTTTCCTCCCATGGCACCCCCTCCCTCAGCTCATGGTGACCTGGTTATCTGGGGGGATTGTGCCCATCACTGGCCCTCATCCTCACCCCAGCCCCTGCCAGGAGACAGCTGTGTCACCTGCAGCCCCTCCAAACCCCTTCCAAGGGGGACCCTTTCCCAATCTCCCCCTGGTTTCCTCCTCTCCTCTCATCTCCCACTCAGGTTTTTGGGCCAGAGGAGCGGAGGGCTGGGGTGGGGACTGTGCCCTGTGTGTCCCCCATGCTGGGCCAGCTGAAATCCCCCCCCAGGAGCCCTGGTGAGCTGGGACGGGGCTGCCGGCGCCGGGGGCACTCAGAGGATGTGCAGCTCATCCGTCTCCGACAGCCCATACTTGGTCTTGTTGTCGTTGAAGAGTTTGAGCAGGGCCTGGATGTACATCTCGTGGTACGTGTCCACCAGCTCCCGGCTCGGGTTCTGCACCTTGGGCACTGCCACCGGCTCCCCCACTGCCGGCAGGGGACAGGACGGGGTCAGACCCGTGGCCTGGGGACGCGCTCGGCTCATGGGGACACAGCCCGAGCGGTGCCTTCCAGCGGGGTGTCCCTGCTCTGCCCCACCCTCTGGGATCCCCCCAGCCCAGCTGCTCACCCACGGTGGTGATGGGTCTGGCGTAGGGCAGGATGCCCCGGGAGCGGCTGGAGGTGAGGCCACGGCCATAGAAGACGCAGGGAGCGAAGCCAATCATCTTCTGGAAGCGCTGCTGGATGCTTCTCATCCAGCTGCCCTCCTCAAAGACCACCTGGCGGAACAGGTCATTCTCCCCAAAGGAGAAGGAGGGGACGAGGAAGGCCCTGTGGAGGGGACACGGTGGGCAGTGACAGGGTGCCAGGATCCCCAGGCCCCTGCAGGGGTGGCCATGCCCGTGACCCACCCGTGACCCACCCGTGACCCACCCGTGCTGCAAGGCCATGCGCACGAAGCCCTTGCGGTTGCGGAGGATGAGCGTGGTGACGCCGGGCCGGCAGGACAGCGACTCGGCCGCGCCGCCGATGACGATGGCCACCGCGTTGCCGGTGCCGTTCTGGGACAGCAGGTACCCGATGGCACGGCGGGTCACCGGGAACAGCCCTGCAGTGGGAACGGGCACCCGAGCTGTGGGACTCCCGCCTGGGCAGTGCCCGGGGACACCACGAGGGATCACACCGGGTGGGACCAGGGCAGGGACAGCGCAAGGGCACCCCCTGCTGCGGGCAGGGTGCAGGTAGGGTGCAGGTAAGGCGTGGGCAGGGTGCAGGCAGGGTGCAGGCAGGGTGCAGGCAGGGTGCAGGTAAGGTGTGGGCAGGGTGCAGGTAAGGTGTGAGCAGGGGGTAGGAAGGGTGTAGGTGAGGTGTAGGTGAGGTGTAGTTAAGGTGTAGCAAGGGTGGAGGTGGGGTGGGTGTATGTTAGGTGTAGGCAGGGTGTGGGCAGAGCACAGGCAAGATGCAGGCAGGGTGTAGGAAGGGTGTAGATAGGGTGCAGACAGTGCAGGCAGACTGTAGGCAGGGTGCATGTTGGGTGCAGGCAGAGTGCAGGCAGGGTGCAGGCAGGGTGTATGTTGGGTGCAGGCAGAGTGCAGGCAGGGTGAAGGTGGAGCTCAGGCAGAGCTCCGTCCCTGCCCTGCCTGCTCCTGGGAGCACCATCACTCCTGTGTTTCCCTCAGAGGGAGCGGGGACTCCCTGCCCATGGGCACTGCCAGCAGAGCTGGGCAGGGGCTGCTCACCCCCACTCATCAGGTACTCCCGGAAAAGGGGCAGGCGGAAGTTGCCAGCCAGGGTGGTGAGGAAGGAGTGGATTCCCGGGAACATCTCCTCGAAGCCCGTGGAGCCCGTGATGAAGTTGCAGAAGGCGCCGACACAGAGGATGCCGTGGGGGTGGGAGCCAATGATGTAGTTGTGGTTGGGTGACAGATCATGTGTCTTCACCAGCTGTGGGGACAAAAAGGGTCACAGGGACATGGCACCTCCTTTTGGGTGGTCCCACCACCGGCACCTGCAGGAATATCCTGTCCTGGCACTGTACCTTGACTGGGAAATAATCCCGAAAGTGGTTCCACACAGTCCATCGCCGCAGGCACGGCAGCCTCCTGCCACCTGCAATCCAGGGAGGGACGACAGGAGATGACACCCACCCCCGTGGGCAGCGGGATCCGTGGGAAACACTCCCCACAGACCCGCCGTATCCCTGTTCCCACCACGGTGCTGATGGTGTGGGAGTGGAGGGAAGGAGCAGGTGTGATGTGGATCTCCCCGTTTGCTGTGAGGGACCTGGAGAAGGGGGGACCCCACACCCCATCCTGCTGCAAAGTCGGAGGAAGGACGATGTTCCCATCCCCACCTCTCTCCGGTGTGTCCCAGTCGAAGATGATCCAGGCCAGGTAGAGCACCGGGATGAGCCAGAAGCTGGTGAACAGTAGGTAGATGAGCACCACGAGGCTGACGGTTCCTGCGGGGGCCAGGCAGGGGGTGAGCGGGTGTGTGCCCACCCCCAGGGCCCCCGCAGCCCCCTACTCACCCAGCAGCAGGAAGCTGAGCACCCACTGCAGGACGGCGAGGAGCTGGAGCGCGGAGCGAACGTCCCGCTGGGAGGGCCAGGGCACGGCCAGCAGCGTGCGCAGGGCGGCCTGGACACTGGCACGGCTCCCTGTGGAGGGGGGACACGGCCCCAGCCCAAAACAGCACGGCTTGAACACAGCCTGGGCCACTGGGCTGGCGGGAGGCACCCAGGGGTGCCAGGGCTGGGGTACAGGGCGAGGCAGGAGGTAGGATGGGAAGAACGAGCAGTTGGGTGAGGAGGGAGGGGATGTGGTGGGGTGGAATGGGGGATGCCATCCCCAGAGAGCTCTGGACCATGCCAGGACGTGACCCTGGGCAACTTAGGGTGCTCTGGGCACAGAGCAGGGGGAAGATTCCAGGGTGAGCCCCCCAACCCCAAACATTCCATGCACCAGCAGAGCCGAGCGCAGTGGCACATCCTGCTCCATGCCAGCTTCCCAAGGGCTGGGACCTCTCCCATGCCCTTCTTGGAGCTCTCAGGCTCACAGAGGATTTGGGGATTTCTCAGCTGGCACAGCAGGGAGGTACCACCCCCCAGCAGGTGCCAAGGACAGCGGCTGGGGCCGAGCTGGGGTGGACAAGGGTGGCCATTCCCCAGCTGTCCCCACAGCCCAGGACACGCTGGAGCTGCTGCTGCTCCGCTCCCCCATGGCCCCTTCCCTCTGGATGACCTTGGTGAACCATTAACCATCCTGGGCTGGGTGCCAGGATCCAAACTCCACACACGGCCCCATCCCTCCTCCCGAAATGGGCCCGAGGCGTCGGCTCTGCCAGCACCGCTCCCGGACAAAGGTCCACCATGGCCGAGACCACCCGGCACAGCCACCACAGAGAGATACCCCTGAGTGTCACCAGAGCCAGGTTTTCTTGGGAAAACAACCCAAAATCTGCATGTTGGCCAGAGGGATGCTCGGGGTGAGACAGGAGCAGCCCTGGTCCCGTGGCTCCCCAGACCAGAGACCCCCAGGTTAGAGGAGAACCACCAAACCTTGGTTCAGGAAGCTGGTAGAGGTTCAACTCTTCCTGGCTCAACTCAAACCAGGAATGGGACAACTGAAATAAATGAAACACTGGAGCCATCTCCAGCATTGAGGAAGTGTTGTCCATTTCTCCCACGCAGCATGACAGGCTCTGAGAGATCCCTTCCACCCATCCCACATCCCAAAAAGTCCACACAGCCCTGCCATTCTCAGCTTTCCAAAGCCCTTTTTTTAGCCCAGGGAAGACTCAGAGCTCTTCCAGCAAACTTGTGCCCACCAAACAGTCGTTTTCAGTTCCTTTTCCTAGCTCCCATCCCAAGAACTCCACGAACATCTGGACCACAGACACAGAGAACCCTCGTGGTTCTGCTGCTGGCCCCATCCACAGCAACAGGAGCCTCTGCAAATCCCAACATTTGGAATTTGCAGTGCTCTGGAGATTCTTGTGGGAGTAACATTCCCAAATGCATTGTCAGAAATTCCATTCCTGTTGAGCAACTCTATATTTTCCTCTGGAGTTATCCCCAAATCTCTCCCAACACCTCCCTTTCCCCTCTGCACTCCAAAGCAAGTAGACAACAGTAACAACGAGCTCTGGCGTTGGTGGAGCATCAGACCCCATCCCAGCCCCCTTTGGGAATATCTCACCACTAAGATTTTGGGAGCAGGCCGCGATGATGGTTTTCATGGTGGCGGGAGCTCCGCACCAGGCTCGGCAGGTTGAAAGGTGAGTTTGGCAATCACAGAGGCTGTGTGTCCAGAGGCTTTAACCACCTGACCCAAGGTCCACCAGCCACTGCCCAGGGGAGGGACCTGCTCCAGCCCTGGATTTGGAGCACGGACAGGAGCTGGGGGTCCTTGGGAAGGTGAGGGGGGCACACTGAGGGTGAGGAGCTGCTCCGTGCCGGGCGGTCGGGGCTCCTTGGAAAGGCCCCGGTGCCGGTGGGGGCTCTGTGGGGGTTGCATCCCCCTGGGGATGGTACCGTCCACAGTTTGGGTATGTCACAAACACTGTCATGCTCAAACAGTGTGATCCCCTCAGAGCCACCCAAAAACGTCATCCCCAAGCTCCCGCTCTGCACAACGGGAATGCAGCCACTGGAACCAGCACCATTCCCTCCTCTTCCACCCCTGCCTGGAGCACTGCCTGGAGAGGATTTGGGGGGAAAATGAGAAAATAAGGAAATAAGAGCAGCACAAAATCAGCACTGAGGTGGAGCTTCGGGCCAACAGCCAAAGGAACAGTGAGAACCCACAGGGACTGTTACTAAAGCTGCTCCTCAGGATCCACCTCTCCAGAGGTGCTCACTAGGAACTGCTTGCTAAAATCAAGTGTAGGAAATGGAAAATCCATGTACAGGATTGCCTGTGGTGGTAGAGTGAGGAACATGTTTCCTGGGAGATTTGGAACCCACAAACCCCACAACCTGCTCCTGTGAACTGTAGGGACTCTGTACCTGGGAAGGTGTGACCACACTCACTGCAGACCGCGGCTTCCTGGGCGTGGATCAGTTCCAAGGAGCAGGGATTGCTGCATGGAAAACATTTCAGCTCTCCTGCAGCCCAACTGGCCCCCCAGCTGTGTCCAAATCAGGCTGATAGGAAGGAAAAACCCCAAATTGTGTGAGAATCCCACTGTCCCAGGGTAAGGAAACACTGTGCAGGTAACAGTGCCCGCTCCAGGTGACACACCCAGTGCCAGCCAAGCTGGCTTTGCTTTTTCATCCCAATATTTTTAACAGGTTTAGAACACGTGCCAGCCCACAGAGCTTCCAGCTGTGATTCCTCACCCCTCTGACCAGTAACACAACCCGTGTGCCAGGTCAGTGCCAGATACAGCAAGCCAGGATTGGTGCCAGCAGCCATTTAAACCATCTCCAGAGGGATCCAGAAAAGGTTTTCCCCCCATCAGGGTTGTTCTGTCAGATTTCAAAGCATACTGACTACTTTGCCTTGGAATATGGCACCATTTGTCCCAGTTTTCATCCCTGTGGGCTCCACGAGAGGGTCCAGGGTTGGCCCTCACTAGCTCTGTAAGAGCCCAGGATGAAGAGCAAGGGAATTTTACAGCAGGAATTAGGCAGCACAAAGAGAGTTTATTTTGCTTAAAATAGAGAGAAAAAAAATAATAAATACAACCACCCACAATACAAAGAGCAGTTTCCAAATCCATGGACTCCCCCTCCGAGGGCTGCCTCCGCCTGGGAGCGCAGAGGGAGCCTGACCCTCACAGAGCTCTGGGCACCTCCCAGCACGACCAGTGCACCCAGTCTGACATGGAATGCAAACCAAAGCAAGGGGTCACGTGTCCTCCTCTGATCCGGCTCCTGGAGGATTCCCAGATGCTCCACATATGTACACTGTATTCCCTCCTCTCTCTCTCTCTCCCTGTCCAAGTTCTTCTCCCAGGATCCAGGCCCTGCTCAGCCCATGTTCTGCCGGTTGCCGTAGCCTCGGGGGTGTGTGTCTTTCCAGTCGTCCCAGTTCCGAGCTTTTTGAAGAGCTTCCTCATCCTCCTCCTCCTTTTTCTCCTGCTGCTGCTTCTGCAGTTCTTCATCACTTACACCTGCTGGAGGTGAGGGACAGGGAGGAGATCCCAGGTCAGGCTCTCCAAGGAGAAGCCCAGCCCAGAGCTGGTCTAGGCAGACAGCAGGGACTAGAATCATGGAATGGTTTGGGTTGGAAGGGACCTTAAAGCCCATCCAGTCTCATCCCCCACTAGACCAGGTTGCTCCAAGCTCCATCCAAAAGGCCAAGCACAGTCTGACAATCCAGTTGTTTTCCTAATAAAGCTTGGACTCTTCCTCAGTCAGGGGGTGTTCCACACCTTGCACACAACCCTGTCCACTCAGCCCCCCAGGAGCCTTCCCAAATCCCCCATTCCCATGTTTGCCTCCATACCTGGTGCCCTCTGAGGGACGCTCTGCCCGGACACAATTCCCTGCCTCCGGCGCTGCTCGTACCAGTCGTCCACAGTCATGGTGGGCAGGCCGGGATAACCAGCTCCAAACACTCTGCAGGACACACACAGCCAGGAAAAGGGAGTTAGATCCCTCACAGTGAGAGAAACACAGACAACAGGCACAGCACTATTCCATAATCCAATCTGCACTAAGGATTTGAGGCATGTTATCAAGGAGGGCTTGAGGGAGGCTTTGGGGAGATCTAATTGTGGCCTTCCAGTGCCTGAAGGAGCTCCAAGAGAGATGGAGAGGGACTCTGGACAAGGCATGGAGGGACAGGATAAGGGGGAACGGCTTCCCACTGCCAGAGAACTTCTCCCCTGTGAGGGTGGGGAGGCCCTGTCACAGGTTGCCCAGAGAAGCTGCACCATCCCTGGAAGTGTCCAAGTCCAGGCTGGATGGGGCTTAGAGTAACTTGGGATAATGGAAAGAGTCCCCAGGATGCCCCTGAGAACTGAACTAGACATCGAAGGCTCAGGGAAAATCATATCACAAGCATGACCCCATTTTGTGCTTTAGCTGCTGAAATTCCTTGCGAGGATCTCAGGGTGCCACAAACAGAGGTGCAGACACAGAGGTTACAACTGGATTTCTGCACTTGGAAGAGTACTTCAGGCCTGATGTGAGAGCACTGCCTCAAAGTGTGGTGGAATAACCCCAACCCCACGTACCTGGCCTGGGCAGCATCGCGGGTCAGGATGAAAGGTCTCACTGGGGCTCTGACGGGCCGGGAGGGGCCGTGGGGAGCTGCTGGAGCCTAGACATGCAAACAACAGTCACAAGGCAATTGTGGAAATGAGAATCCCACCCTCTGCTTCCCACTCCAGGGTTATTAAAAGTCTTGTAGAAGAGAAACACCTCAGCTCTCAGAGCAGTGCCCTGAGATGGACAATCCAGGCCTGAATCCGGTTTAAATCAGGAATTCCATCTGTGCCCCTCTACAAATCACTCCCTGTGCCTCTGTGACACCTGCTTGGATCAAAGCAGAGCTGACAGGGCTAAACCAGCTCAGAGCAGGAATTGCTTATTGCTCCGGGGACGCAACACACAGCATCCTGAGCTTGGCATTCCCGACGGGACACTACGGAGGAGCCGAGTCCTGCAGTGCCAAAAATGACCCGCCCCTGCCAACAGGCTGGGCAGGGCTGTGCCAGCTCATCGGGGGCTGTTATTTCCAGCAGACATTCCAGGTGACATAAAGCCTGGAATCAATGCTCTGCACAGGGACTGCAGGCCTGTGGAAGCTTCTGTCATTCCAACAGGTCGATATTCCCATCTGTAACACCCGGACACGCTGCAGACCACGAGTGGGGGTGTGAAAGACATCACAAGGGTCTTATTTTAATGTATAAATTTAAATGCTCTTCAGGGTTAGAGGCCTACAGAACCCAGCAAAAGCCTTTGCACAGATGAGTTCTGACATTCCAAGCTCCAGCATTTCACAGGCTGGAATGTGTGGCAGGAGAGGGCAGGAACCAACCCAAAAAGCAGAATTAAACCAAACCCCACCAGCTTGTGCTGGGACTGAACTCAATTTCAACTGAGAATTCACAGAATAAAACTCCACCTCTGCCACTGAGCCCTCAGGGATTCATCCCCCCCACCCATGTCCATCCCAGCAGCGATGATCCCGTACCTGTCTGGCCACATCCCTGTTCTTCAGGATCACCATCTCCTGGTCGATGCTCTCCAGCTCCTCCAGGCTGGTGCTGATCCATTTCTGGATCTGCAGGATGTAAAACTCCCGGATCTGATCCTCATCTGCTGTCCCGCTCTCCACGAAGCTCCTCATGGAGGCCAACTTGTTCTCCAGCTCCTTCTTCTGCTTGTACCTGTCCCAAAGGGAACAAAGTGGGATCATGGAATCATTTTTCTCTATCTCAGCCCAGCCACAGTGTCTTTTACTGCCTTTTGTAAGAGGTTCAACGCCATTTCATGTATTTAGAAAAGAAAATCTTATAAAAAATACAATTTTTGTGGTGGTCATGGTGGTTGCTGTTGGAATTCCAGCCCCTCCTGTCTGTTAAAAGCAGCTGTAAAATCACATCAAATTTAGAGGTGCCTCAATTATTTTATTCTTTCCCTAAACAATTAATAATTCTTGAATACTGAAGCCTTCCAGGTAAAATTAGGCAGGCCTGGAAACATTAATCCCCCGGAGAAAGCAGGACTTGAACTCATCAGCTCCTTCCCTGAGAAAATCCAGTGGAATGGCTATTTTGAACTGCTTCCATGTGACACAAATATATCACGAAGTTGCTTAAAAAGCAGAATAAATCATTTTTCCAGTTTCTGTCTCAGGTGGTTTTGTGTGTGCAGGGGCTTTTTAAATATAGTTTTGGCTTTCTGGATTTCTTGACCTGTTTCAGAATTAGTTATTCAAGGGAATAACTGCCTATATAACAAACTTCCAGGTTAAATTGTTTTACCTTTTCATAAATTAGTTATTAAAGGGAGAACTACCCATATAATACACTTCCAAACTAAATCCTCATGTTCCACTTCCCTCCGTTATTGAGTCACCTGAAGAACGAACAGTAAGAGCCAAGGATTAGAAACCTTTGGGAGGTGAGAGGACAAGGAGCACAAAAGAGTCATTCTAAAAAAGAAACCCCTCCCAGTTAGAATATAAATCATATTTTTGTATCTGTGCAATTTAAGCAGGTCCAGTCCAGTCTGGATCTTTCAGTGCTGCCCATGGGCAAAATCCCACCTGAAGCAAGACAAAGGCACCTCTTTTTCAAGCCACAATAAACCCACTGGTAGGAAAATTCCAAGGTGGGTGGCTTTGTGCTGTTAGAACTGACTATGAGAT